ATATAAAATGATGACAAAGGTGTTCCTCAGTATGAAGCCTTTAGCTCGTTAATAATCTGATCGATATCTAAAAAATCGTCTGCTTTTTCTAAAATCTCGAGAGAGATGCTCTTAATCAGTGTCTTGAATTTGAACTTATTCAGACTTTTAATAGAAACAGGGAGACTATTCCAGATTTTAGAGCCCATAAAACGAAAAGAACGCCTACAAGATTCAGTCCTGACGCCATCAACGTAAATACATTTATTTGATGTTGATCGTGTCGTGTATCGATGGACATCTTCCAATGATCTGAATAAGCAGTTCAAATTGTCTGGGGCTTGACTGTTGAAAATATCATGCATCATAATGCATACCCGCTCAAAAAACATGAAGTTGATGGGAAGTGAGTGTATCTGTAGGAAAAATGGTACAGTGTGCTCCCGCGGGTTTGAGAAGTTGATTAATCTTAGCGCACGCTTTTGTAGAACAAGTACTCTTTTAAGGTGTGTTTTAGCAGCATTTCCCCAGCTACAGATTCCATAATTTACATAAGGGACTATCAAAGCTTTATAAATGCTAAACATTGTTTGGCGTGGTACAAAATGCCGCAGTTTAGCAATGATGCCAATCGATTTACGTATTTTTTGCACAACGTGTTCTTGGCGGGGATTCCAAAATAAACTGCCTTTTATATGCCGATGACTTAGTACTTTTATCGGAAAGTGAGTCTGGTTTACAGAATAGTCTAAAAAAACTAGAATCATACTGCAAAAAGTGGAAACTAAATGTAAATTTTAAAAAAACTAAAATTTTAGTTTTTTGCTCGCCGTTGCAAAAACGTTTACATCAAGCCTCGTGTTGTTTTTTTAAKGGTCAAAGTTTAGATCATGTTGAGGAATATATTWATTTAGTTCTAACCTTTCATTACAACGGAAATTTTAAGTTAGCGATTAAATCTTTATACAMTAGGGCTTTAAAGGCATATCATAGTCTCATGTCCGGACGCTACCAGTAGCCTATGAGGACCGGACGTGCAACTTATGTGGTTCAACCTCTGTTGGTGATGAATTTCATTTTATGATGATATGTAATCAAGAAAAAATCAAAAATCTAAGGAATAAATTCATTGAAAACCTTAGAGTTATAAATCAAGGTTTTAGCGCATTTGAAGAAATTAGYCTATTTAGATATCTACTGTGATCGATGCAAGATAAAGCTGTTACAAAACTATTTCGTAAATATTGTTATGATATATTAAGTACTTACATTAGACAAAGTCGTGTTTTGTAATTTTAAGACCACTGTWTAATTTCATAACGTAGAATTTTGTTTCATGTTATATAGTATAATAATTTTACATATAATTTTAGTTATATCTCATGTTACATAAATATGTAGAATTTTTGATTATTTTATACTTTTTATATTATTTTATATTTTAAAAGGCTTTAGCATAGTGGCTTGAACCTCATTCCGAGGCACTAGCCACAAAAAAGATATTGTTAGCATTTCTACACATGGGATCTCATCGGTTAGGTGCTCTTCCTATGCCTTAGTAATATTTCTTGAAGTAAAGCCTTTAAATGTACAACATGCAGAGATGTTCTTAGGTATTTTATGTTTATAAGTATATATATCTCAATCTACAACCTTTTTGCAATTGAATGTATATGGCTTTTTATTATGTCATAAAATTCCATAGATTTTTGAGGGAGTATTCGAMACGTATCTTACCGAAACTAATAATCTATGACTTCTCCATTTCGCTTGTATTTATTTTCTGTTAATTCTGTCTTATTTGGTTAATGTTTTTGTGTTCATGATGGATATCTGTTTTGCAGGTTTATGGTATCTTGTTGGCATTATAGCAATCTCCTATWTAGAGCCTATATTGCAACCGTATGCTGAAACGGTATGTAAAATCATAACGAAGTAATTCATAAGAGGCACTGCTCAATGATTGTCAGTAGAAGGGAGGGCAATAGAGATTAGAGAATGACGTTATAATATAAAGATCAATTCTCACTCAAAACTATTTACCCTAAATATAGGGCGAAACAAGTAGATTAGCGTAGTCGTCGAACGGTACGATGACAATTTCAAGCTTTTTTCAAGGCGCCAGGACAACCATAACAGTTTTTGAATGATATTTACGATTGTATTTGTTACTATAGCTTTGAGTATCGTAGAAATTCACGAGAAAATTAATAATAAAAGCTATTATCCAAAAAAATATTTAGTCCCATTTTCTCCGACTTTTAGTTTCAAACGTACACAGTCAAGTTGGATTTGTTTATTTCATTATTTCTACAAAGTTGGAAATGTTGGAAAATGCATGGGTAATCGGACTCTATTGTTAAACGGAAAGGATCGGACCTGTATCTAATGGAGTTTAAGNATACAGGTCCGATCCTTTCCGTTTAACAATAGAGTCCGATTACCCATGCATTTTCCAACATTTCCAACTTTGTAGAAATAATGAAATAAACAAATCCAACTTGACTGTGTACGTTTGAAACTAAAAGTCGGAGAAAATGGGACTAAATATTTTTTTGGATAATAGCTTTTATCATTAATTTTCTCGCATGGCTCGGATGACTGAAAACAATGGACTTGATCATTTCTTCTTTCATTGAAATTCTAATCTTTCATCTTGAGGACGTTAATACGTATGTGTTTTCTGTAGCTTGGAATAAATTCTACTGGCGTTGGCTTGCTTTTCCTTGCTACTTCTGGTGCATATTTAATATGCACTCCCATTATCGGCTACGTTCTTGATAGAAAGGTAGGTATTGCTTTAGAATACGGCTGTTACAATGCGAATCGAAAAACMGTGGYCGCCTAGAAATAKTTCGGGAATATTTATTGTTCATTGACCAATCAGAAGATTAACCGTCATCAAGTGCATTTTCACGTGCAAATTTTATCAAAACTTCAACTTTACAAATAATTATAAGTAGTAGCATAGCTCTGAGGGAGATTAGGGATTAAATGTCCCCGAAACCGAGGGCAGATAAGTTGAAGTCCCGACGGCCGCAATCTCCCGAGGAAGCCATGCTATTACTTTGTATACCATGATTTCCGAGGAAAAAATTGAAGTTGAACTTGAGAGAATTTGAATTCTTGTTTTTTGCATGCTCCAATGTTTTTAATCAGAAGTAATAAAAACATTACAAAAAAAAAATAAATAAATAAAATTCATGCAGGATTAATTGGAATTTGACATGAACAAGAATGGATACGCTCTGTTCTAAGAGTACCAACTACTTTATTGTGTCATTGAAAAGGTTTTCGCAGAACAACAGTACAAAATGATATTGGTAATCCGACCATTGTTACTGATTTCGCACAACGAACTTTCAAACAATTGCTTTCAGTTCTATTCAGTGCTGAATTAAAGAACCTTAACTTCAACCCCGAAAAGTTGTTTTTATATTTGCAAGTATAATGCCAAGAAGCCTATCAACTATTATCAAACATTGAAATTCGTCAAGTGCACATGCTCAGCGGTACGAAGTAGAAACTCGGAACCAGAGCTACTCGGTCAATTTGGCCCAAAAATCATCCCACATTTGAGTGTGACTGAGACGATAACCAGACCGTTCATTGCAGAGGTAAAAAGAAGACAACTGTAGGGACATTCAGTTGTTCCTACTAGGAAGCAAAGGTTTCCTTTGCCTTCCGTTCCTCATGAATAACAGGAGGGACGATTAGTCTAATCTTCCCTCATGTTATTATGCATGAGGGAAGATTACTACTAGTAATCGTCCCTCATGCTATTCATGAGGGAGGGATGTTCGCTTGTAAACATCCCTCGGAAGACAAAAGAATCCGAGGTGATCATGGTAGTAATAAAATTATTATATATCAAGTGTCAAAGTTCACTTTTCCTAGTATCTTATTGGTCGAGAGTGTACCACGTGAAAGTCACAAAATTTTACTGTTTCCCGGCAACTGTCCACCAGCGGTCAATAATATGTTGTGGACCGTCAATAAGTACAAAGACGCAGAAAAACGCTCTTCAGTGTCGTGAAAATGTCACATTTACATTTAGTGATTTTATCAAAATCTTTAATAAAACACTTCATTTATTTACGTTTTTTGCTCTCTTTGACGCTTGATATGATAATAAAGCACTTATTGACTGAAAACCTCGGGAAACAGTATGTTTTGCGGTCCCTCGGCCGCTGATGTTTCCTCAGCTTCGCTTCGGGAAACATCAGCGGTCTCGGGACCACAAAACATACTGTTTCCCTCGGTTCAAGTGTTAACTAGTTTATCACCAAAAAAAAAGTTTCATTTCAGTTTGAATGCGTCTTTGTGTTCCCTGAAGATGACCGCTTAGGTCGAAAGCTTGGAAAGAAGTTTAAAATTATTGATGGTTGATTAAACAAACTACGTATAAATAAATAAAAAAAACGACCTGTAAAGCAATTTCTTTGTTTAGAATAAACACCAAGTTTGTCCATTTATGTTTTTCATCATGTTTTCTTGTTGTCAGCTAAAGTCACTTTTCAAT